CCTATCCCTGTACCTACCTCCTAGAAATTGGTAATTGGTTATTGGTGGTGCTCCTCCAACCAGATAGACACTGTAGTTATTTCGTATCTCGGTAGGTAGAGGATATTGGCCCAACCGATCTCAAGGAAATCCCATTATCCTCCTTGTCAACACATTGTAGCAGTCTCAATGCAAGGACAACTGTGTCCGCCAGGTGAGTCTGTGTGGGAGTCCAATAGCTAGATTCGCAGTACTATCTAAGAATTACCATGGGATGAGGGAAGATCCCACCTGTTTCTGTGCAGATAAGCAGTCTGATGAAGGCATTGGCTCCGTCAAGGCCCCGACATTTCTGGAATTGAAGTCGTTCCCTTCCTGTCCGAGAACTCAGGAGCATCCTTCGGGATCATGGCCAATGGCGCACAATGCCAACACACAAGGGCACCCACAGACGCATCCAATGTTCTATAGCCGGCAGATGCAATTTACGAAGCCTGCAAATGGTGAGATCCTTCTTATGCACAGATATTTTCAAGGACCGCACCCTTTTGTCGTCAAAGCGGCGTGTCCCGTGTGTGCTGATCGCATCGCGATTCGGATATTGAACGGCTTCTCAAAGCGGTTGGTGTGTCCGATGATCTCTTTGAGGCTTTGCAGAATCCGTTTCTTCGAGAAGGAGACAAAATTGTGGAAGGGAAAAATATGCCAGGAGACAGACGAACCATGGCACAAAAGAAGAGGCGGCGAGCCAGTCTGCAGAGTGGGATACCTGTATCAAGGGGCCGAAGGCTGGCCTGTCTCCTACTCCATACAATACACATCAAGGAGGCTAGAAGTGTACGTGAAGTCTCAAAGCAGTCTGCAGGGATATACTGAAGTGCACCAAGTACCTACATATCTAGAACCATTGATGTCGGCGGGAGATGCTGTTATGGAGTATATACACTGCACTTGACGTAATCCCATACTTTCACAGAGTACGCATGTTGTATCTTCCTCTGAGGTATCGCGCGACCCGGTGGAGTGTTGGCTTTTTTGTTTGCTTGTTTTTTGGGGGGCGGGTTTCGAGAAGAACGAGGCCCACCTCGTAGAGGGAACGGTAAATGAAGAGGCAGACGAGCCACATCTGGCCAAAGCCTGGGAGATCGACAAGCCCCAAGGAGTGAATTGAGAAGGAGGAGACGGTGAACGAAACAAGCAATACTCCGTAATTAGGTACTTCGTCGATACTCTGAGCCTGGGGTTACAAACATCCAACATGAAAGCCATAATCCTGAACTCATCAAGCAACAAAGCTCATTGTTAGGCCTGCGGAAACATTGTTTCGGATTTGCCCACGTTCCCGTTCCTAGATGAGCTCCGAACAAGGGAGCGAAGCACATGTAACAATTGACCAGAGCAGGGCAACAGATGACACCTGCCTAATCTAGGGGCGCCAGCAATACTTGGTACCATGGTGCCTGAGGCCATACATGCATAATTATACGAGTACAATACCTGTACCTGACCAACATACCAGTAGTGTGCTTGTCACTTGCTTGTAGTGGTCAGACAACCAATCGTTTAATACTTATCAATTGCTCGAGGCTTGAGATTCTCAAGTACGGAATTAATACTGAGCATTCTGTTGTGTATAATTAATATAAGGTAGCCAGTGCTGCGCCTCCATGGGACGTCAACACTCTCATGATCCAAGCACAGGACGATTCGCAACCTTCGTTCTACTGCAGTCGATCGGAGATGGGATGCGGTGGATTATGGACTGTCTTGACTACTGTTAGACTCACTTCGGCTGAGACTGGTTCCACTTCGAGAGACCTTACATTAAAAAACCCCACGAGGCATGAGGGCACCTGTGCTTGTCCAATTAATCTCGAGTTTTATGGTTGGTGAGTCCAATTCTGAGAGGAATCTCGAGCACTAGGTTGTAGTTATTATTACCTGACTTGGCCGAGTTTGGACAAGACTGGAGAGAAGGAGTTAGCGACAGACGGGACAGGCACAAACCAAAGTTGGCATTCAGCCGTTCACAACTCAGACAAGAGAGAACAGAGTGGGCTAAACTCTTAAGGCGCTTTAGTGCCGCACTACTCGTGCAACTATTTTAGTGTTTACGGTCAAACTAAGTATTAGCGGCCGATTGGGTGCAGGTTTACGGAGTAAGCCCTAAAGTGTTAATTTGGGACCCTTGGTAGATAGCAAGTGCGAAAGATTGAACCAGACATTTGAGATCGATGTAGTAAAGCCATGTATCATGCGATAGAGGCAGGGGTAGAAGGAAGACTCCATGGACGTGTCAAATGTCAATATGATACCAAAGCCGTCAACGCGTTCTTGCATTTATCTAAATGCCAGAACATATCAGGTAGCTATCTATAGATGTGATTCGTCTGGAACGCCCCGGCTCCAGAAGATAACGGTTCACTCTCACTAGTTGATGGAGTAACGGAATGATAGAGCGAATTGCGGTACGTACCACAAAGTTACGATCCAAGGGATTGATTGTTATTGTGACTATCCTTATGAAACCTCTTGGATTCTGGAATCCGGATAGAATGTTTAATGAAATGAGATTATCCTTGTCAAGTTGTGTGGTCAAAGGGAAAAAGAAACCAACCATGTAGTGTACCGAGGAATTCAGGTTGGGACTACATACCCCGGACTCTCAGCCACCTATGTAACCCATTGGATGCGCTCTTCCGTCCGACAGGGGACTATCCGCTAGTGTCATGATTATTGTCACTCCTGGAAAGTAACACGTTGCGGTTCCTGTGACTGTAAGCGAGACCGCATCTGGAAACATCCCGAGTATCGAGGCTTTAACCGAGTGTGAGGGTGTCAGGCATTATTATGAGCTCTGTTCGGTATCGTCTATTTTCTTGTTGAGATAGTTAGACCTCGGATAGATTCAAATATCAGGCAGACTGGAGTCTGCATTGAAACTTAGATATGTGTGTGTCGCACCTGCCCGAGGATGGAGCATGGATGGATGCAATTGCCCACTCTAAGTGCCTAGATCACAGATGTTTCTATTCATGTCTCATTTTGCTTGCCTAGATACTCGGCGAGCCATAAGTCATTTGTAGCATCTGTCTAACAATCCCTCTTAAGGTAGAAGAGCACTTGCACCTGTCATATCTTATGATCGTCAGGTGTCAGTTTGTCAGAGCCTGTATCAAAACTAATATTGTTAAGTAGATAGTCCCACATCTTAGGAAACTGAGACCGCTTGGCATTGGCACCATTGATGATAACGCACAGTCCCACAAAAATTACAGTCTCTCATTGCGAACTGTATGTCGCTGAATCGCGTCATTCATCGCACAGACGCAGCTAACCACTGTAGCAAATACCAAACAAGAATCTACGGAGTACTCATACTCGAATCCACCGAGTAGTCAATGGATCATTATGGGTGGATTGATTTGTTTGCTCATCATCCACATCGCCCCATTATTCCACTTTCTTCGTCGACATGTCTACCTTTCCTCTTCTTCTCTCTTCCACCATTTTCGGCCGTTGGCTTCCTTACCTGCACAACGGTGGAGACATTCAGTGTGGTGATTATTGTAGGCCAATGACCCAGATCGTAAGATACATATCCTGGTGAATTGAATCCACTGTGCTGGACTCATGGCTGACGCAAGGCAATAAATCTCTCAGCAAAGTGTCACACCGCTGATATAAGCTAGTAACATAGAACACGATACATTACCAAAACTGGTTCAAACAGATCCAGCTTGAAATTAAGAAGACAGGGATGTAGTCAACCATGCATGCATGGTGTATGTATGCATCCTGGGTACCTACAGGACGAAAGGGCCATGGGGAGTCAAAGCGGGAGAGACACTTGCAGTGCTCGCATATGATGATTTCCAGGATCGCCTACGTACACTACCTAGGCTGATTCCTTGATATGCCTCTGGTTGTTAGAATCCAGCTCATAGTGGTTTGGCCTTTACTTGATTATGCTGAAAACAGCATACCTTACAACGGAGGTAGATGGTGGTCCCCAAAGCACAAAAGGACCCTACCTAGGTAGATAACCAAATCAGCTGATCCGAACGAACCCGTTACTCTGGTTCAAATGTTTCCAAACCCATCTGAATAAGGGCTCCGATCCTCGATCAATCAGATCTCTCGAATCTCGATCAAATCCCTGTTGGTACCGGGTTAGCTGTGTAGGTGAGTTTGTAAGGACAGACAGCACCTGGCCACTGCTTTCCAAGCAAGGACGAACGTGGATCAACCCGCCAACTGGTTTGCCCCTTTAAGTTGGCTACAGTCCGTACTCCGCAGCGTATCTGCATGCTGCCTCACCACTGTCTCAAACAATAAACTTTTGCCCCTGGAACAAAAATCAGACCAAGAGCCATGTTTCACTTGTTCGTCTCCTGAAGATCATTTTGTCTAGAATCTATCGATTCATTATCTTTGGAGTCTCTACCGTCCGTCCCACTTCTCCAACTATCCTGCTTTGAGTATATATGACGACTCGGTGGACTCCCGGCTTCCTCGATTCGTCTTTTGCCTACTGGTCTATTATTCTTGGAAACTAGACAGCCACTAAAGCAGGCAACGATTATGATGTTGCTACTCCGTACAGAAATAGCAGTAACGTACCAGCGATCATCATCTGCCCTCTTTGTCGTCTTCCCTTTTACTGCGCAGAGACCAAACATAACAAGATAACAGAGGAGCGGTTGACGGAGGCCGCCGCTCTCAGCTCCTCTTGAACTAGTTTTACGTTGGATAGATAGATAGATACTGGCTGCTAGACGTCTGTTGTTATTCTCATCCCTTCATCAGGCTGAAGCACATCTCGCAGCTAGTGTACATACATCACATAAAACTATCAACAAAATACCCGTTTCCGCCTTTCACCTTGTCGCTTTCGTCCTCAACGCCAATTGATATCATGATCAATGAAATAAACGAACGAGCAACAAGAAACTATATGAAAAATATGCTTCAAATCTAAAACTACACGTAGTGTCCGTAGACTTCCAATAAAGGGCCGATTACTCCTCGTCCTCCTTCATCTCCAGATCCTCCCCCCGGGGGCTCTCGTCGAACAACCCATCATCGTCGTCGTCTTCGTGGTTCTCATGCACCGGGCCTGCTGATGAGGCTCCTCGCTCTTCTTCCTCATCCTCATCATCTTCGTCCGCAATCCTACGGGTCACCTTGGCTCGACGCCGCTGCACCACATCCTCAGCATCATCGGCTCCGGTGTCCCGCATCTCTTGATCCGAATCATTCGCAGCAGTCTCGTGCACCTCATCCTCCACGTCCGAATCTTCCACAATCTCGCTGCTTTTGTACTTGCTCTGGGCCTTGCCGCCGGACCGACGCTCCAGCCGTCTGCGCTTCTTGGGCGCCGCCTCACCCTCGCTGCCAGGCTCCCCGCTGACTGCCCGGCGAGGCGTCTCCCCATCGCTGATGAAATCGTCTTCCGCCCTCTTCTTCTTGCGCTTCGACGATGTCTTCTTTCTCCGCCTCACTTTGTCGCCGGTTTCCGAATCCACCGTCATCTCCGCCTCCTCACGCGCCCGCTCCTCTTCTGCCCGCTGCTCGGCCAGTCGTTGGGCTTCCTCAATCATCCGCTGTCGCTCTTCCGCAAGCTTCTTCTTCCGTTCCTGCTCGGCTTCCTGCGCCTTCCGCACCTCTTCCTCCCGCTTGCGGATCTCCGCCTCTCGAGCCTCGCGCGCCTGCTGCAGCTTCGCCGCGTTCTTCTCTTCGTATTCCTTCTGGCTTTGGAGCGCACGTTCCAACTGCTTGATGATCGTCTTGCCCATGTTGGCGCGCTGCTCCAGTGCTCCGGCAGGGTACGGTGGGTTCTTCACCTTGGCAATGCGCCCGAAGGTCTCAATGGCTTGGTGAAGCCCCTCAGCGGCTTCCTCGACGTCCTGAACAGTCTTCTGCGTCTCTGGTAGGCTGTACGCCAGCGAGGCAATCTGGTTTTGCACGAATGCAACATTGAACTCGAGATGAGCCTGTGCGGGCGCTACGGCGTGGGCCCGTTTGGCATAGTCCAGCGCCGTCTTCATGGCGGACATGTTCATTTCTTGCTTGCCCTTAAGCAGCCAGACACGTCCGAGGCACGCCAGAATCTGTGCATCGCGAGCACGATCTTTCGACAGCGCTGCCTCGTAGTGCTCAATCGACCGAGAGTATTGGCGGAGTTCGGCATAGACATGGCCCAGGTTCAGGTAGACGCTGGGGTCCTTGAGGGTATCTCGCACCTTGGAGAAGATATGCACAGCGCCGGCGTGGTCTTTCTTATCGTCGACGAGCGCAATAGCAATACCTTGCGCTGCATAGGCATTCTTGGGATCTAGCTGCAGCGCTTTGTCGAAGAATTCGACGGCCCTCTCGTACATCTTGCGGCGTTTCTCCTTATCCTGGTCGGTATCGCGCCGCATATCCCGCGCTGTGGCCAGGTGAACATTGCCCATCCCGGTCAAAGAGTAGCGGTCATGCTTGTCAAAGTACTGCAGGGTATGTTTGAAATGTCGCTGCTCGTGGTCCTCAGCGAGGTTCGCCGCCCGCTTCTTGGACTTGCTCAGGTACCACCCGAAGAGAGCGCGGACCTCGAGATTCGTCGAGTCGGCCTCGTAAAGTTTGGCCATCTTCTTCGGCCCTTCATCTGTAGGGCTCTGTCTAAGAGCAATATACGTGAGTCTCGCATTGGCCTCTGTGTAGTCGGCATGGCGTTCAAGCAGGCCTTCGTAAACTTTCTTGGCCTCGTCTTGCATGTTGGAGGCTTCGTAGGCTCGACCCAGATTGTAACTAACGGTCGTTACAAGAGCATCTGTGTCAAGCTGCGCCTCCTTCTCCTGTGATCGAACGCAGGCATTCAAAGCTGCCTGGAATAGCGTTCTCGCTTGTTCCACCTTGTCAGCCTGGTACATAAAGCAGCCCATATTATTAAGAAGCTGAGGAGGAAGGTTTGTTCGGAGGATGGCTTTGACTTCTTCCTCGTCCTCAATACCCTCCGGACGCTCTTCTTCGGCGATCTCGGCCAGTTGCATTTCTTCCAGCTGACTCAGGCATTGCATGCTCTTCTCCGGCGCAATCTGCTCATAGAGGCGAGACAGGTACACCAAGACTGATTCATCAGGAGAGACCTTCTTGGCTTCGTCCTTCCACAGGCTACGGACCGATTCGAGCAGGCTGATGGCCTTCTTAGCTTCCGCCGACTTGTCCTCCTTGCTACCGCTGGCTTGAGCAGCAAAGACCTCCTCGGCATGAAGAGCCCCAAGTAAGATCATACATTCGGGGTTCTTGGTTTGCTGAATAATTTTCTCCAACCGGAATTTGGCGTCGTCGTAGTTCCGGTTGGATACCTGCATCTGCACCGCACCGAACTTTGAAGGAAGATACCCTTTGTCGCCGCCACCTCGCGCTTGATCGGAGCGGCTGTAGTACTCCGCAGCGCGAGCAAGGTCGCCTTCATAGTGAGCTTTGCGTCCCAGGAGATACCAGCCGTCACTGGCAATCGCCATTACATCAGTGTGCTCAATGGCTTTCCGCGCCAGTGTCTCGACGGTAGAGTAGGATTTTCTCAATAGGAAATAGCTGCCAAATAGTGCACATGTCATGGGGTATTCCTTGTCCAGTTTGAAGGCTTTCTGCGTGTACTGGGTCATGGCCACTTTGTACAACGAGCCAAAGGCAGGATCTGTCGTCGCGTGTCGCGAACTGTCATAGAGGTAATAAACGGCAAGTAGGATGTTGGCAACCTTGGAGTCGGGATTCTGTAAGTGAGAAAGAAAAATCACATCAGCAATGTTCTGCAAATCTCACAGTAGCCTTTCGTAACTCACGACTGCTAACGCTCGCTCCCAAGCAACCTTCGCCTGATCCTTGAAGCCCAATTGCCATAAGCAACACCCGATACCGATTCGAGGATCTGGGTCTGTCAGGCCAGGCATCTTCATCAGCACCTTCTGATACCCCTCTAGCGCCTCCGCATACCTGCCCAGCAAGTATTGCGCTCTGGCACGTCCCAGGATCGCCATCACATTCCGGCCTCCGAACGCCTTTGACGATTCTTCGAAGCACTTGAGCGCCTGTCGCAGCGACTCCACTCTCTCGGATGTATCAACGGATCCCGGTCGAACCGGCCTTGGTGGGTGCAAGGAAGCCCGCAAAAGGCACAGAACGCCTCGGGCTAGAAACAAAGGGGGGAAAGCTGGGTTCAGTCGCGACGCCTCGTTCAGCGTCGACGTCGCGAGCTGGAGGTAATAGTCCTTGGTCTTGGCTTCTGTATACAGTTCCCCTTCCGAAGCAACTCGGGGGGCCTGTCGGCTCTTCAGCATCAACAACCAGCAGACCCAGCCCAACAGACCAAGTTTCTCTTTGGCTGCCCCATGACCGACCGAAGCCAGGCCTTTATTCAAAATGTCGATCGCATGATCAAGCTGCTTCTGCTTGGCATACGCCAGCGCGATAATCACCCAGAAATTCTTCGCGGCTTTCTCGTTCTCCAGGAGGGTACATAGTTCTGTGGGGTCGTCTGGTAGGCCCTCCAAACTGACTTCAACTTCGCTATCAAGGGTGGACGCGGGAATATCAATCGCAGAGGGTATGTCAGAAAAGCGAAGATTGACCTGAGAGCTGGCGGTTGGGAATGAATTGCCATTGGCGTAGCCGTTTTCTAACGACGCCATGACGCTTTTCTAGGATGGAGGGAATATGTGCTGTCCTTTTGCCAATGTCTCCGAGATGATACGGTAGGAGGAAACACGGAGATGTGCGACTGTTCGGATTTGAGTTAAGACGGAAGTTCGTGGCAAAGCTCAAGTCATGATCATTTTAGGCGAGAAAATCTAATAAATGTTTCGGGTGAAACAGAGAAAGATGAAGAGGTTCCTTGCTGAACCCAAATAAGAAACCAGCTCTTGTGTTGGAGCTTTGGAGACCATAGAGACAGATCTGCGGCTCTTGATCTTTGTTGCTGTTCGGGCGGAATAACCTACGTTGGAGCCTGAGGCATCAGACGGTGGCTGGAATGGATCTGAAGTGGCTAGTGCATCAGTAGCACCGCCACATTTAATCGGCCTCGGTTATACAACATCCAAACGACGGTGCTTTGGTGATCTTGAATGAAACCAGATTGATCAATTGGCGTCATTTTCAACAGCAATTTTCCCCAGACACTTGGTCGCTCGTAAGAGGTGTGCATTGGATACTGGGCTATACCTTGACAAGTATGTGTCTTGAGATCAAGTACAACCATAGTATATTCCTCTCATGCCGTTGTAAACTCCCCGCAATATTTTTCATCAATAATATGATCTCGTTTGTTATGTCATCTCAAGCTCATAAGGACATTAGCAATACAGCTATTGATAATCTAGCACCACCCAGAAAACTCGAGGTTCTAGTCCCATAGCCCCAAAACCTTAGGCAATCTGCAAAGAAACGCCATGCCTGTCAGTACCATGAAAATCCGCCCAAGCTCCGTCCAGTGATGTAGCCGGACATGCGTTTCCACAAAGCCCTTAGAGGCAGCCTCTCTCTGTACATCGGACACATCTCCAGCGTCAATGCTGCCAGCCAGCGAAGTTGGGAACCTCCCGGTTTCAAAGAATTCGTCAAGTAGCTCATCCTTTTCCGTCCAGCGCGCCCTGAGCCAATTATCAAATTCTTTTTGGTCATCCAAAGGAATATCGGACATAGCGAATCGCCTCCAGTACATGTTGACGGAGGTCGGAGGCCTTCCCTGCAAATATGTGGATCGGAGAGTAAAGTACTTGTCGGGATAGCTGCCCTTCCTGCAGTTGGGAAGAACGAAAGATGTTAGTCAATCGATGTGCAGTGGGCAAGGAAACCTCTTTTGAAAACTTACGGTGGCCCTTCGTACGCAACGGTGCAGTCATATACCCAATCGACAGTTCCCTTCAGCTGCTGTAGGCAGAAGAGGAGACCGGTCGACCGAGGAAGGACCTCATGTTTCAGGAGCGGTAGCCCCTGCTTTCGGCCGTATTCGTCGCTCCGTCGCTTCGTATTTGGGGACAGGTTGGTACCTTCTGGGAAAAGCAGGAGCCACATGGGGTCATATTGCGGGGATTCCGATTTGGAACCGGACATTTGGGTCTTGAGTTTTTCCAGGCGATGTTGTAGTCGAGGTTTGTCGGACAACCATTTACGGGCCATGAAAATGAAACCGTAGAATGTCATACCCTGCCCGATGATTGGAATATACTTAAGTGATTCCTTGAGAATGATGAAGATGCGGCCATGCATTTGGTTCGTGTAAGCGATCCACCAAAGATAGATCCAGTCGGTGTAAACCTGATGATTGGCAATCAAAACTAGACGCTCGGGAAACTCGGTCTTGAGTCGTCCATCCTTACACAGGTGAATCTGACCTCGTACGCTCTCGTTCCCACTGACGCGTACATATGTTGGACAGCCCCATTGTGTCAGGGCTGTTATAACCAAGCCAAATGATTGTTTCGTCAGAGCCATGTAACTGTAATAATAGTCCTTGTTTATGAAATAAAGAGGAGACCCGATCAACTGGGTCGCGAAAATAATGATACAGCAGCAATTGAACCATGTTGCAAGTAACAAGGAACGAACGAGCTGCATAGGAATGCCGTGCTTGAGGCGCGGCTCGGTGTCTTCGAAGCCTTGAGACTTTTCAACAACGTTATCACTGTTCACGCCAGGTGCCGGCTTTCGCCGATGAAGCTCTGAGGAGTCCATGACGAGCAGGTAACCCCTGTGAAGCTGTTTCAGAACCTCCGTAGTCGAATCGGAACGATCGAGATGAAGTCTGGGAAACTGAAGACGGTATACCCGCCCTTGTGCGAAGCACACGAGCAAATCAACGCACTAGGGAATTAGGTATAAATAAGCAGTCTCGCTGCCTAAAGCTGTGTGGGCGACACGAGACGTCGCAAAGGGAGAACTGGGTGAGTAATAAAGATGAGAAGGAATATCAAGCCATGCTTCGAGCAGTAGAAAAGAAAAGAGAGAAAGACACCGGAATCGAAACAACAATAACCACAATAATCATGCGAACCACGGTTGTTGGTGGGCACAGGCAAGCGAATAATGGATGAAGTGATCTTGTGATTGACCAGCGGGTAGAACAACCTTACTTACCTAGGCAATGAAGCACCACCCTGACACAGCGTGAGTGACGTATTTTGGCCTAATATTAGGCAAAGGCGGTCAAGTGGGATGGTCGATTATTTGTGGTCCACCTTTCGTTGTCGATAACCTCTCTGATGATGCTATTTTATCGTTATCTTAATTTCTCTTGATAGTCTACACGATATTTGCTTCGTCTGTCTTAGACAGCAATGAGCGAGCTGCTGTAAGCATTGGGAATGTCCTTGAGATAACAGAAATACTTCAAACATTCAAGACGGCGACTCTCGAAGACCGAGTCAGAAAATGGACAGAAACAATCCGTAATGTGAGTCGATGCATCATGGAATGAAGATAAAGGAGAAATCTCGAATTTCAATAGCTTGTGATTTGGCTAATGAATAACTGTGCGAGCCAGCGCTTTTATAATGCAAGGGGCTATGATTCGATTTCGACCCGCCAGATTGGGATTCGGGCGACGCATTCTGTTCGCAAGAGGTTTCTCGGCTTCTTCGTATCTGCAAGAGATCAGAGATATCCGAACGCTACCGCAACGTATCATACCCAAATATGAAGGTGCGCGCCACTTCGTACCGTTGGTTCGGGCATGCCGGTTGAAGATCGCTGACCTCTACCAGAATCTCGAGAAGGCGATCTGCTTACGCTTCGGTGGCCAGAGCCTCCGAGAAATATTCTCGTTGTCAAGAAAGATTGTGCCCCAGCGGTGACGGAATCGCTGGTTGAATTTGCTGCGTATGGAACACTAGATGAATGATGTATCTTGGGAAGAGCCTTTACTAACACAATTTCTGGAGAGTCTAGCCACACAAGGTCGACCTATCCATCAATTGCCATCATTCTAGAACGAAAGACCGCCGAGGAAATTCACTCTTCGCTTCCTTTCCCGGTCTACTCAACATTTCTAGATAATGACCTATCCGCATTACATGATAAAGTGGACATGACGGTCACCCTTGGGGGAGATGGGACAATCCTACGAGCATCTTCCCTGTTCGCCACGTGCGTTAATGTACCTCCCATGTTGTCATTCAGTATGGGAACGCTGGGGTTTCTAAGCGAATGGAAATTTGCCGAATACAAGCGAGCTTTTCGTGAAGTATTCATGTCTGGGGCGGGTGTCGGAGACCGGGCATCGATCCTAGAGGGCCAGATGGAAGATGGGTCAGGGCCAACGGGATGGTCTTCGGTTCGTGGGAAATTAATGGGTTCGTCCAGGGGGGCTCGAATCTTGATGCGGAACCGTCTAAAGGTCGGGCTCTTCACAGTTGATGGCAAACCAATTCAAGTACATGGAAAAACCCCTGTCGCACAGGATCATCTGGGTACCCAGGGTGTGTATGTCATGAATGAAGTGCTTCTTCATCGCGGCAAGGAGCCGCATCTAGCTGTGGTTGATGTATACGTCGGAGGCCGGTTCCTGACGGAAGCAGTGGCAGACGGGATGATAATCTCAACGCCTACTGGCAGTACGGCATACAGCTTAAGCAGTGGGGGGAGCATTGTCCATCCCCTGGTACCGGCGGTGCTTTTGACGCCTATTTGTGCCCGGAGCCTCAGCTTCCGTCCTCTGGTTCTGCCCTCGAGTACGCCAATCACCCTTCGACTGAGTGAGAAAAATCGTGGGCGGGAGCTAGAGGTCAGCATTGACGGGGTCAATTTGGGGCAGGGGATGACGGTGGGCACAGAAGCTCGCGTGTGGAATGAGGAGATGCGGCATGGCAAGAACGAGTGGCATGGCGGCGTGCCATGCGTGATGCGGAAGTTCACAGGCGCTGAAGCGCATGATGGCTGGGTGGGAGGACTGAATGGACTGCTGAAGTTCAATCACCCGTTTGGAGAGGAGCACTGATCTATATATATCCTTCGCTGTTCATCTCCAGTGAGTATGAGTAAATATGTAGGCAGCTGCTCGGTTCGTACGGACCGAATATAAAGGGTTTTCGTAATTTCCTGATCCATCATAAATGAAGTCATAATAATTGTTTATCTGGCATACAAATTCTGCCAGCGTGGTTCAGTTGCAACAGCGGAGTGGGCCGATCTATGAATATTAATGCGAATCTCTGGATACTCCTGACTATGACCTGTGGGTCCAGAACTCGGCTCGACTTTGGGCACGGTTTATGGAGTAGTCTAGGTAGTTTCGCACTGGAACCGGAAGAGAGTTCGAGACCATCGGTGGAGTACCTCCGTACTCCGTAGACTCATTACTACTACTACTCACTTGTCTGCGACATTGCATCTGGTGGGGGGATCCTGTCAATCCATTATCAATGCTACAATGCTGAAGATCAACTGTGAACAGTATCTAGAAAGAGCAGCACAATAAACCATTCTAGAAACAAGTTCTCTGCTGTGCTACGAGTCTAGAGCCAAATAAACTATGACTGGTTTCATTCAAACAATCCAATGCAACCATTAAACTAACAACAAAAGGAATGGAAATAATAATGCTACCACTGGTAATGATGAACTGATGATAAATAAATAAGGTACCATCATTAGAGACCTTTTGTACCCATTATAATACAATAATGAGTTGTTGCAACATATTATTATGGATGCAAAAGGTCTCTATTATTACTAGATATGGCTCAGATGTTAATTACTGTACCTTGTCGAGCCTCAAGCAGCCAGTGTCCCGCCCTCGTGGAGTTGACCGGGACTTCATCTCGAATCCATCCATCTAATCCTCGATTTCCACTCTATTACTATGGAGACAATGGTAATTATCTCAGATAGTCTTAGAGATATTTAGCGTTGACGAAGATTACTCATACTGAGTAGATTTCTGTTACAGCCAGAGGAGGAGTAGCAACAATGGGAGGTACTGGAGGTACCCGGATGTTGAACCATGGCAGCCTTGCATCCTATACAAGCATTCTAGAAGCCAGAGAAAATCAACAGATAGTTAACATGTTGATTCTTGGTTCGCTACTCCATAAGTAGATCGATATTGTTGCAAGATGAAACTTCACTACTAGATACTGCTACTCCTACTTCCAACATCTGACTACTTAGCAGCCAAGTATTAATCCCTTTCCTATCAATATTATTAACACCTCCTTGTTCCTGTCTTCCCCACTCTCTCTCTTCTTCCTCCCTGTCGCTCTCCTTCTCCCTCTCTCTCACTACTCCCTCGTCTCCTTCTTTTCCTCCCCACCAGTAAAGCATCTTCTAAAACTTTTTTTCCTATTCTCTTCGCCGTCGCTGTGAGATTCTACCGTCTCTAATTCATTGCGTCTCTTGTTACCAAACCTTCAAACAGCTTGCAAAATTGCAATACTAGTCCCAGCCTTGGCTCACTAAGCCCTCACCGCGTCCCGTCCCCAGATTTAAGCGGCACTCCCACTTGGAGCTTCCTCGCCCACGCGAGGGCTCTGCCGGTCAGAGGCGGAAAGGGAACAAGGTACGGTTGTCTCCGAAGCCAACAGCGGCAATTTCTTGCATACTTCTATTTCGGACAATCCTCGCTGGCTCGTCTGTCTGTCCTCCAACCCCTGCGCGGCTCTTTGCTGAAGGATCACTGCCCCTGGACGAGTTTCTCGAAGTGGGGGTTCATTCCACCCTTTTTTGGCAGAATCGTTCGGGTCTTGTATGCAGGCAATACTGGTGTCGCTGCGTCTTGCTCACATCACTTATTCTGCTGTTTCTAGGGAAGCATTGTAGCGTCTGTTCCCGTTGCGTGTGGATTTCCCTCGTCTCGCCCTTTTGGTCAACGGGAACCCCTGAGGCCAAATCACCCCTCCTTAGGGTTTCCGCATTCCTATTGTCCTTTACAGCATCTCGTCAACTGCCATGTAGGTTGAGCCCTTCTTTATCTGACCATGCGGTGCATACCATTTTTGGGATCTGATCGGTCTCAATTCCAGAAATTTGACTGACCTCTGTCGCAGTATGTATTCCGCCGACCAATTCATGAACCCCGGGCCCGCTCCGCGCCCCCCTACCGACCGTCCAAAACTCACACTCCCTTCGAATCCCTCCGGCGTGGCCACATCATTCAGTCAAATGAGTCTCAATTCTCCAAATACTCCTGGATCTGCCAACCTGTCACTATTTCCTAACACCAGCAGTCCGGCCCTCTCACAGACCAAAACAAACCAGTCCGGCCAGGGGGGCGTTGCCGTCGTGAAAGAGGGCTATGTCCGCTGCAAAGAAGACAAGTTTTTGGCTACTTGGAATCAGAGATACCTCATTCTGCGCGAGTTCCGGCTCGATTTCCTGAAGAATGAGACTGGGAAGGTGGTCCTCTCCATCCCGCTCAACACTGTCACCAGCGTGTCGCGTTCCGAGGACACTCGGATGGCTTTTGAGATCATTCGTTTGGCCAATGCAAAGGATGCCGCTTCCAAGACCGCCTTGATCACTCGCGACGTGCCCACCAAAACCATTACCTGCGAAGTTAAGAGTGACGATGAAATTTACGACTGGATAGACAAAATTTACGAGCGTTGCCCTGGCATGGGAGGTGTGAGCAACCCGACAAATTTCAGCCACCGTGTCCATGTCGGCTTTGATCCGCAAACCGGCGCCTTTGTGGGCTTACCCCCGGAGTGGGAGAAGCTGCTGACCGCGTCGGCCATCACCAAGGAAGACTACAAGAAGAACCCCCAGGCGGTGATTGAGGTTCTAGAGTTCTATTCCGATATCAAGATGCGCGAACAGAACCCGCAGTACTACGCTGGATTGGCCGGTCCTCCGTCCAGTCAGCAGTCGAAGCCCTACAGCAACAACTCGGTGGGCAGCTCCATTGCACCCCCGAGGCCGCCGCCGCCTGGCCCTGCTCAGCGTTTGGACAACGGACACTCCCAAACGAGTCGCTCGGCAAATTCGTCACCTTCGCAGAGGGCGGAGTCTGATCGTGCTTTGGATCAGCAGCAGCAGCTCGAGAGAATGAAGGAGATGGCAGAACAGGAGCGTCGACGTGTCGAAGACGAGACCCGCCGGGCTCGTCAACGCGATGATGAACATAACAGACTTGATCAAGAAGCGTACAACGCCTCTATCCCTAAGGGTCGTGTTCCCCTGGCCAAGCAGGAGCTTGGCGGCTATGGCGGCGACTCCTCCATGGCCGATCGCTACAAGCCAAGCCGTCCCGCACCGCAAGCCCCTGGCTCGACTCGTCAAGATCCTTCTCGTCAATTGACTGCTCAGCGCCCAGCACCCGCTCCTCCCACTACTTCCAGCAATGGCAGCGCAAAGAATTCCCCCAACGCTCGTTATGCTCCAAACGATCCACGTTCTCAGGCCGCTCGCGCCCAAAGCAATGGCACCAAAGCGGCGCATGGCCCCCCTCCATCCAAGCTTCCCGCGCCTGTGCAAGCTGTGAAACCACTGAATATTGCGAACAAGCAGACGACACAAAAAGGCAACGTTCCGGACAGTGTTCGTCAGGCCGAAGCTGCACTGACCAAGAAGGCTGAACCACGCCACAAGGAGGTCCGCATGTCGGCAATGTCTGAAAATGAAGTCATGGATCGGCTGAGGTCCGTGGTCTCCAAGGATAATCCGAACGAGTCATACAGCAAGCAACGAAAAATTGGACAAGGAGCGTCAGGTTCGGTGTATGTCGCGCGTGTTAAGGAGCACGCTGTCTCCCCTGTCGCACGGGAGCTCTACCGGCAATATGGCCCACGGTGTCAGGTTGCTATCAAACAGATGGACCTGCGCAGCCAGCCCCGCAAAGAGCTCATCGTCAATGAGATTATCGTTATGAAGGACAGTCAGCATGCGAACATCGTCAACTTCCTGGATTCATTCTTGCAGGAACAGAGTAACGAGCTGTGGGTTGTGATGGAGTTCATGGAGGGAGGCGCCCTCACGGATGTTATCGACAACAACCCTGTTATTCAGGAAGATCAAATTGCGACAATCTGCGCGGAGGTATGTCCATGACTTATATTGCATAAAGATTTTGCACCGGGTTGTTTCGATGCTGACTGTTACCCAGACTTGCAAGGGTCTGGCCCACCTTCATGGACAGAACATCATCCATCGTGATATCAAGAGTGATAACGTCCTTCTGGATCGCGCTGGTCATGTCAAGATTAGTAAGTCTGCCTTTCAGAACATTGGATCTTGCCTAGACTAACTGACTTGACTCTTCCAGCTGATTTCGGTTTCTGCGCCAAACTTACCGAATCAAAGAGCAAGCGTGCAACAATGGTCGGTACTCCTTACTGGATGGCACCGGAGGTCGTCAAGCAAAAGGAGTACGGGCCCAAAGTTGACTGTTGGTCATTGGGAATCATGGCCATTGAGATGATTGAGTCCGAGCCCCCTTATCTGAACGAGGAACCATTGAAGGCGTTGTACCTGATCGCCACGAACGGAACCCCTCGCTTAAAGAAGCCCGAAAAGCTGAGTAGGGAGCTCAAATCCTTCCTCAGTGTCTGCCTCTGTGTCGATGTCAACAGCCGTGCTACCGCCGACGAACTCTTGGACCATGACTTCCTCAAGACAGGTTGCAGTCTGGCAAGCCTAGCCGAACTTCTTCGTTGGAAGAAGAACAGCGGACAGTGACTGGTTCTTCGCGCAATCCAATGTGTCAGCTTGACTCGCGCTGGCACGTGTAAAGCATTCGCGCTTTTTGTTTTCGCTTTACAATTTACCCGTTAGATCTTGTCTTGCGCACATATGGGTCGCATTTACACGCTCCAGCTTGATTCTGATACTCCCTTACGACCTGCATTGCTCATCAGAGTAACGTGTGATATCCGAGCTGCAGAGCGTCATTTTTTCCATTGCAGGCCTGGCGTATTACTCGGCGTTCTCGTTTGGTATTCGTTGTCAAAGCCATCCGTCCTCCTTTCTACTCCGCTGGGTCGCATGCCATCTCGTTGATTT